TTTGGCTTTCTCAGGACTTCATAATCTGCTAAAACATTCAGCCAGGCCATTCACCTACTGCAGAGTTAAAAAGATGACTATCCTAAGAGACGATAAGGTTTCCAACCCAGGTCAGGAGGTCTTTTTTTAGCACCAGCATGAAGGATGCCCCTATTCCTCAGCGTGTCAATATAACTAACAAAATCCAACAAAATAATTTATTTTCCCAGAGGAACTATCCCACTGTCTGCTTTTACAAGGCAACTAAGGGTTATAAATGAAGATAAGACTGCCTCTCACAGTATGACCTCTTCTTTGGATGCTTCCCTACCAGCAATGGTTCTGCTCACAGCCTGCCTCTCAGTCCTGCCATAGTGTTCTCAAAGGAAAGAAGGAAGAAGGAAAATAACATCTTTCAGTGTTTCTACACAAAACAGAGCAAGTATCTAATCAGGGGAAACCATGTAAGAAAAAGTCACTTGCAGATCTGCATCTCAAACTTCACCAAAAGGGGCTGTTTTCCTTTTAAGATCTAACTGGGTTTTGACACGGCCTTTGGTAATCGGGCAGCTGTACTGCAAAGGTAGATCACCTGTAACCATTCTCCTCTTCCTCTTCAAGGACTCCTCTGTTCAAAAGGGGGAATTCTAGTATCGTCTTTCCTTTGATGGTTAATTCTATACAGGGATTATTGGCAGCTCAATAGCCGAGATGTGCAGAAAAACCACTCAGGGGAGGGAAGCCTCATCAGCTCTTTCTTCCCATCTCCCAGCATGTTGAGAGCACTCTGAGGCACAGAGAACAGCAGGAAAGTAGCATCAATGTAAATCGCTGTGTTTTTTTCTCTTTTCATAGATCCTATGTGCATCCCCATGTACCCCCAGAAACCAATTCTCCTCCCTTTCCTCCTTGGTCCTAGCTGGAAGCAACAGATAAGCCATTTTCAGCTAGAATAGATAGCATCACCAGGGTGCAAATCAGCCAAATCCAAGCAGCAGTGCTGTACAAAGACAAGGAAGCACTCTGTGTTCCTGCACTACCACCCTGCTTGGTGGCAACCTCTTCCCAACAAGAATGGTATCCCTAGGTCAGTGCAGCAAATCTTGGTCTTCGGATACATGTTTTCTAACCAGTGGATGCTCCCATTCAGTTCACTTCATAATCCTTTGCAAAATAATCTATTTACTAGTGGATAATATTAATAATTACAGGTTATTTAAATGCTCTAGGCACAAACCCTTTTCACAATTAAAGATATATAAGACATTGATAAACACAGTAACAAGAACAGAACACAGAATGGACACAGAAATGCACCAGGTTTAAAGTCTCAACTAATTCCGATATTTCACAACAACTTAAGCCTTTGCACACACACAAAGAAGGAGCAACTCATGAGACTGGAGCAGCATTCATAGCTGCAGCATTATTTAAGCCTGTTACTTAGATACCCATGGACAACTAAAGTAAAGACTGTTAAACCAAAACTGTTTCCTGTCAGTTGTCTTCACGCTGCTGCAAGAGGCCTTATCGTGGCCTCATCTCCTTACAGGAGAGATCAGCAATCCACACTCCCTGTTGCTTCCCAAGGTCACTATTCTGAATTCCATCCCTGAGGCTCAAAGACTGCCCGGCTCAAACCCTAGCGATGACCACCTCTTGGGGGAGCAGGGACAGGGTCTAGAGACAGGGTCTCTAGAAGGTAGGTTTTGATCAGGGGAGGTAGTCTTCCAAACCAAAACAAAATCAAATCTTACAGCATTTATGTTGGCTGGCTTTTAAGTTGTAAGTTTGCCCAAAAACCCAATACTACTCTGAAGCAACAGTCTGGATGCCAATGGTCCTGAACACTGAGATATGGGTAAAAACCTTAACAAATGTTAAATAAAGACTTCAAAAAGAATAGCTTGAAATTGTGGCAGGACAGCATTAACTGCAACCTGGGGTAGCTCTAGCTATTTTCTTAGTATTTTAGGTCAAAAAATTACAGAGGCATAAGACTCTTAGAGCAGGATGACAACTCCTCAATGCTTTATTAAGACCTTTTATATACTGTTTATATACCACTGCTCTGTCAGCTTGTCACTAGACCTTGTAAAACATCAGAGGGAACCATGTTGGACAGAAGCGTGACAGACTCCAAACAACATTAGAGATTTACACAGTGCAACCAGAATAGAGTAAAACAAAAGCCAGCCTATACAGCTTGTCAAAATGGGATGAGACCACCCTTTCAGAACAAATATTCTACTCACAGCACTTCTTTATGCACAGACATCCACAAAAGGGATTGACCAAGGAGTGAAAAAAAGTGAAAAGCTCTGAAGTCTGGGAAAATTCGTGAAGGCTTAGTTTGCATACAAACCCCCAATTCCAAGTGGACTTCTGGCTCGTATTAATCACAAACACCATCGATTTACCATGCAAACATTTTAATTGTTTAAATCACTCTCTTCCAAGCATGAAGAGACAGAAGTACCACTCCACCATGGTGGTATCTCCTATGACAGTAACAAAGGACCACCTGCTTGTAACTTAAATCATCCACTCCTGGTTTGTATAGCTGAGGCTGAATACCCACAGGATATTATTAACATTTCCCCTCCAGCATCTGGTCTAATAAAGAAACACAGAACACCTTTGCTGTAGTATAAAAGTTTACAGAAAGTTCGACAATTTAATTGAAGACAATACAAAATATGTTGTCTGAATCCAAATAATTAATGTAAAAGTACATGCATGAGAAAATACTGGCAAGAAGATCTAGATAACCATATTATCAGATGCATGTTCTTTGTCCCTAGAGATAACATACGGTCAAAAATACATTTATATTTTAGGTTACAATAAAAGACAGCATTTTAAAATAAACACAATTTCAAGTCTACCAGCCCTTTAACGTGGAAAATTCCTATTAACACAGGACCAACTGATAGAATAAGAAAATGGAGCAATACTGAAGTGTCTGAACAAGCGTGTATTGTTTTTTTTTCCTTTTATTGAGGACAGAAGACAACAGGAAACGAAGAAGAGTGTTTTGCTAGTGCTCTGTCTTCAGAGCCTTAAGTGTTTTAAAAAACATCATCAGAGCATCAGGGATTACTTTTATCCATACATCCCAGAACAACCCACCCTCCTTGTGAGGAGACAGGATACAGATCAGGCACAGATCTTCCCTTCCACATGAAGCAGCACCACTTCCACACAAGAGAGGATCCTGCAGGCAAAGCAAACTACCCCTACTGTACTCAGGGTGGCAGCTTGGCCCCAACAAGCACTTTCTCTTGGCCTCCAGCAGAGCCATGTTTCCTCTCAAAGCATGAGTTATTTCTTCACACTTGTCAAATACTGAAAGCCCAGAAGTCACCTTGTTGATTGACGGTATCAGACAACAGCCTGAAACACCCGAGATTTCTTACCATGTGTCACTTGCCCTCCACATTTTTGTGGTCAGCTCAACAGTTTAACAAGACGACACATGATTGATTTCTTTGAAGATATTTTAGTTCATTAATTCCTGATAAAAGCATTGGTTGCAGTACAATAGTTGGACATACAGCAACAAAACATACTCAATCTACATGCACAAGCTATTTAATAATAGTACACAGTCTTTCCTATTGCCATTATAAAATGAACACTACTATGACAGCTGACATGGCCTTCCCATTGTTCTCATGAGCTCTAAAACAGTGATGAAATCAGTGTTCCAGTTGGTACGATGACAAAGAACAGAGGTTTGGCGACTGCTGAAGATTCCAATGAAGATGCCAGTATCATAATGGGAAACAGTGTTGGCGTTACTGTACAAACAGCTACAAAAAAAAAAAACCCCAAGCAAAACTGTTTTGATGTGTATTTCAGTTTAAAAAAAGAACACGTGGGAAATACAGCTTTGTATAGAAACATACCAGAAACAAAAGTACATGCAGAGGAAGAAAAGTTAGTTTAAGCCAAGACAAATGTTTGGATGACTAAAAAACCTGATCACTGAAGTACTGTAAACCAGCAACAATCTGTGGGGGAACAGCACATAATTTTCTAAGGAGGGTTGTTTTTTGTGGTGTTTGTGATTGGAGGTTTCTTTTACTGTTTATTTGGGGTTTTTAATAAAGCTTCCAACTTGGAAAATGCAAGTCAAAACTCCTCTGCATTGGTGTTCTGTGCCTGGCTGAGCTTTCTTTCAGATTCACAGTTTGGTCCAGATTCTGACGGTTTAATGTACAAAGTATTGTACATGCCACTAGGACTACTCATTGTAAGTTCTCAAAGTCTGCTTCTCAAAGAACAGATACGACACTGTCACCTTCATTAAAGGTTGATGCCAAAGTCTCAGTACTGCTGTTTAAAGGGCTTCTAGAAATGAGAACAGACAAACCAGACTTATGACCAAGAGATAAGCAATGAGCTCTGTGAAACACACACATTACAACAAGTCTTTTCCTACAGTAAATAAAAGCCATCAGGGGACACCATTTTTAATTTTTTTTAACATTTCTTTCTATAGGTTTCAGAAGTGCCAACAATTCCAGCAATAAACCAAAGTGCCCGGGCTGTGCCTCTCTTTTTAGTGTCTTTCCCAGAAGTTATTCAAACAGGTAAGAAACCCTCTCCCCTAATCAACAGTTATCAGTTTAGCGTGATGCTATTGGCAAGTCAGATCCTGAAATACTAAGGATATTTGACAGTCATAATCAATTTATTCATGACCACATTAAAAAAAACACAGTTACATGTGACTGCACTTTCAGATCTATAATACACCAAGTAAGACTGTGAAAATAAAAGGCAAAAAAGGAAAAAGGCCTCGAGTCTCCCTTTTTTGTTGTTTGGGGGGTTTTTTTACTAATTGTCTCACAGCAAAAAATAAAGGAAGCAGCAAAGGCTTAATCTTAAGTACAAAGTTATAATCTGCAGATCAGGTCCTCTAATCCAGACTGATGGTACACTTTGTTTCAACTGAACCACCCATTACAGACTTGCAATGCCATCACTCATCCATACCCTGAAGCATACCCCGGCCTCATCCACCCAATTAACTATTCACACCTTGTTTTAAGCAGAACAGTAAAAAAAACCAGTTGTTTGGACTTTTGAAACAGATGCTCTGAATTCTTTAATACCACACTCAAAACGCAGGAAGACAAATTTAAGATATCTCAATTCTCAATATATTGTTTACAAAGGAAAAACAGAGGCGAATATAGAAGTATAGAAGGTGTTAAACCACCACTGAAAAATGGACTTGGTAAAGAGCCTACGCTGGAAACACTTACCTTGTGAAATCCTTAAAATGATCGTCTCAGAAGACGATTCAGATACACTTAATCAGAGTTGTGAAAAAATGCAAACTAGACTGTCATAGATCACCGAAGAATCTAATCTAAAGGCAGTGCAAAACAATGGCTGGGCAGGGGGCAACCAGACATCTTGCAAAGTGAGGGACTTCAAATTACTCATCACTGACCTCCTTAATAATCTGCATTGAAGGACCTGATGAACAGCAGTGAGATTTTTGTCATGCAATTACATCTGTTAAGCAACCAATATGCAACTCAAGAGTTATACTGTCACCCACGGTGGATTATTAGAGTAATAACCCATTAAAGAATAAGGTCAAAGGGGAAAGTGGTAAACATTTTGCCATAAGTGAAAACACTTAAAAAATTTACAATTAAATAAAAAGTTAGATGATATCTTATAAAAAGAAGTACTGAACACAACAACGCCACAATAAATTAGTGTTTCCATAAAACGACATGCTGAAGGTTTTGTTCCCAAGTCTATACATTTGTTACTGTCTGTTAATTCCTAAATATTGACAGCGTAATCGAGTAATTGAGGTACAGTAGTTTACATTTGTATATGTCTTGTAAAAAGGTTATTTTTTTTCTTCCAGTTTTTCTTCCTCATCGCCAAAGAACAACAAAGGAAACATTCCTAAAATGCAGCCAATGGTCACTCCAATAGCTTTACCCTAGAGAAAGGGGGAAAAAAATTATGTTTCTCACTGATCAGTTGTTACTCATTTGCTGTGTAGTACCAACACAACCAGGAAAACAGACCCTTTGTTCTAGTTTTCAGTTGGGAGCCACATTTTTCTTAGCATGCAGACTAGAAACACAATCTATGAGAGAGAGACAGATATGACAAAGTTAGAAACAGTGTGTGCTGTGATAAAAGACACATTTCTGAATGAAGAGGAGGGGAACGACCCATGAAGAGCTGCACAGGTGGTAAGGGAGGAGACAGATTCAAAGGATTGGACAGGAAAGCAGGGAAGGACGGAAACAAACAACAAAACATACACACACATTTTATGTGCAATGATAAATGTATCTGCTTGTATGTGGTAATGCAAAGTCAGGAATGAGGAACTCCTTGCAAAAATGATGGCTTGCAAAGGCACAAGGGGAAGACAATAATAATAAATAAAAAAGATTGGAAGACATTTCACAATTTTTCACAATTGACTTAAACATAGAAGTCAAGAGGAGACAAAAGTAAGAGAGGCAACATCCAAACCACTGTCCTGGGTTCAGCTACAGCAGTCATTGACCACACACATCACCAGTGTGATGCACTGGTGTGGAGAAACTTCAGACAATGGCTATAAAAGAAAAACTGCCAGCATTCAGGCAAAGATGCTCAGAATTATCCTCACAGCAAAGTGCTGTGAATGCACTGCAGTGCAACGACAGGCTTTTGCCAGACTCAGCTTGCACCAAGATGACTCTTATGTTGGGCAGACTAGAGAGCAGCCCACAGACATGTCAATTCTTCCCTGCTCAATGCTTTGATCTATCACAGCTAAAAGCAGACTTTTTCCCTTAGCTTTCATCAGCCATTGTTATTTCTCTCCCCTTAAATCTGCAAAGATATTTTTCCCCATGAAGGTTCTATTCTGGCAAAGTGAAAAAAATGTTTCTTTACTCAGTTTCTTATAATCTGTTTCTTTAATCAAAATAAACTAATGTTCTCATTGGTGAAGTGGGACCACTTCAAATATTTAAATGTTAATTAAGTAATCATCCTGAAAATGAATCTGCAAGATGAGTGTCCCACAGCTGTAAACCCAGACAGAGAATATTACTCAAATGATGAAAATTTACTCAGGGGAAAGCTAATTATAAAATATTAGAAATTAACACAAACTAGAACACGTATATGAGTAACAAGCACTTGACAATGTATAGGAGTAAACTACTAGGGGGTTGTAACTTTCAGATAAACTGTCTTATCGCAGTATCCAGAGCTCAACCCAGATATCTCCATAGCATACATGAAGTCACTGCAGAGACTATCCACAGTACTAGTCACTTGTGGCTTGTTGCATATGGAAATCCCCCCCAAGCCCAAAACAATCCAGTCTCATAATGCTCCCTGCCACAGGCTCACAACTAAACCTTCCAGGAAATGTGCAGAATGTTGGTGATCATGAAAAAGTGACAAACAGGATTTATCACATATTACTTGAAACCAAACGAGCTCCACACAAACAGTGCCTACCTACAGAATACTCACCAAGTGTGCGCTGAGACGCGTTTGCCACATATCAGCTTGTTTGGGAGTTAAATCAGGGATAGACAGACCCAGTCGTGAAGCTAAAGCTTCTACATAACCTGCAAGACTGGAAGAACAAGAGGAAGCGATTTTGGATCTGACATTACCTTCTACTGATGATACTGAAATATCTGAAGCACTGAACTTAAAATGAACATCTTTTCCTTCAGCTAAAGTCATCAAGAGGTAAATATGGGGAAGTGTGATCATCAGACTTCCGATGGTCACATTTTGCACTGTAAGTTCACTCATTTTCTTACTGATTTAATATGCAGTGTTTCCAGAACAACTTTATGCAGCAAGACAAAACTGGTGTTAGTGTTATTGTATTTTGGCAGAGCTTGTTAACCGTCACTGGAGGAAAGGTTACATACAACACTAGTAATAAGCGTCGTTATTTGCAGGAAAAAAAATAGAGGAAAAGTGGGAACACAAAAGATATTTTTTTTCCATTTTGTATTCTAATGAAAACACTTTTTTGCAGAAAAAGTTCTCATTAAAACTTCCTTAAAAGCAAGCATTGCTTACAGACCACACTGAGTCAGGCTAAATGCCAATCCCAATTTTATCACTTAAAATATGTAATACTGTAATAACAGGACAGTTATTCTGTTTCAGAACTATGGCATTGCAGTTTGAACCTCGGCAAGAACCACCTAATAGTCCAACTTTTTCTTAGCAAGGACAGAATATATTTCTACAGTCACGTAGTTTACTGAAGCAAAATTCAAGATCTAGGAAAAAAATCATATTTCAGCAGTTTATAATGGCTTAGTTCAGTAGCACCAATAGTGCTTGCAAGAGAGGAAATAAAATACACATATTCTGAATACAAGTTCAGACATACCCCAGTCCAGCTAAATCTGAAACAAGGTTTCCCAAAGCTGCAGCTGGAAGGAGGAAAAGGGAAGAGAAAGGGGTAAGAAGGGAAAGTATTATTTTAATTACAAATAAAACCAATCAGCTACCTTCCCTCCCCACCCCAGTGACTGTCACTCTTCTCAGCAGGTACAGCATAAAAGGCTGGAAGTAAGTTTCTTTAGAGTTTTTTCCTTCTGACCTTACTACAGTTTGTAGCAGCAGCAGCCTAACAATAAGAGGAAGTGCAACTATTTTTCTCCACCTGTCAAGTTTTCTTCATATAAGTACAAAAAGACATCACAGACACCTGGAAACCAATGTAAGGACTTTTCAGATCAGAGTTAAAAATGGCCATGGGTGGTTACCAGTTTCATGCAGCTAATGCTGGACACCAACAAGGCCTTCCAGTGCCTGAAGAGGTGCAGGAGCACAGGAAACAGCAGTAGCTGTTACTCATTTATGTAGTTTTGATAAACATTTCAACACACCCATGAACTGTGTCAGTTTAGGAATACTGTAGATATGACTGAATGAAGCTACACACTTAAAATACATGATTTCACTGCAGATCTTAGTGAGATATGCTTGTTTGTGACTGTCTTGCATTGCAATAGAGAAATGCTGCACAGTTCTTGTTCTGCATTTAAGCTCTCTGTGTGCTTTCAAGCCACACTGCACCTGATGGAGCCAGTGATATTTCCTCTCCTCTGACACTGCAGAGGCACCAAAGCTGTTGAGCAGAGCTTATCAGTTTTGGTCCAGTGCAGGAGCAGGGTGGCTGCTGGGCCTTCCCACGGTATCACACAGAGGCAGAGAAGCCACCAAGAACATGGGCCAGCACAGTAAAAGGACACCAACACTGATCTTCACTCAGCACTGCAAGCAAACAGCAACTTACAAATACATAAACACGCATATGTAAATATCAGACCCCAGGGAATTTAGAGCAGTCCCATTACAGAAATGCAAGTACACTTTCCTAAGCAACTCAGGATTTGAGCTTTTAGATTAAAATGGACACAAGCACTGCAAAAGTTATGTGAACTGAAATTCCATTTCTGCAAATGAAATATGTCCTTGCTTCAACCATAGGTTGTTTCTTTATTAGGAAAGGCAGCTGCAAGACCAAGGAAGAGCCATTTCCAACCCTGTGGCCCAGTGTCAGACTAAAATAAGGAGCGTGCCTATCAGTCTACGCATACTGCATTTTATTACTTGCCTGCCATAGTTGAAATTCCTAGGACAACTCCAATTGACAATTCTATTTGGGTTCCCTGAAAAATAAGAATTTTCTCATTACTTGAGAGATTTGGAGTTAGAATAGATTACATTGACTGAACCAGCAGAAGTACTGCTTACTGCTTGTTTATGTTGACACTGAAAGGACAAATGGACATTACTTTTACTAGCTTTGCACAACTCCTACTCTCCTGGCATATATATTTCTCCCCAGGACAAGAGCCTACTTCTGATATTCTTTTAATATTTCATATTCTTCCATAATGGCCAGCTGATGGGTAAAACTGACCCCTACCTCTGCGTACCATTTCCCCCACCATAATTCTTAGCTGAATGTATAGCTCTGAATACAAACTTCTACAAATACTGAGCAAACAAAACACAGTATTGTAGCTCCTTACTTCTTCAGCTGAAGAAACAAAATTGCAGCAAACTGCATGATGAAACAGCACTACATGGCTCAAAGATGAGATACAACAGGCATGAACCAAAACAAGGCAAGTTCCAGTTAGATATAGGAGAATATTTTCCACTGTGAGGACAGCTGAGCACTGGAATGGGTTGATCAGAAAGCCTCTGCAGTCTCTGCCTTTGGATCTGCTCAAGTCCCACAGGATGGATAACCCACATGGATAACCTAGACTGACCTTATAGCTGATCCTGCTTTGAGCAGGAGGTTAGACTACAGACCCTGAGGAAGGTCTTGAGCAGGAGAAAGACTAGATACCTAATAGGTCCTGTGGTCCTTTCCCACCTCAATTATTCCATGATTAAAACAACACTGTCAGTGATAAATCTACAGGAGGAACACTATCTTTGGCCTTTATAGATCTTCCTGTTCCACTAGCCCATTTAATCTTCCAAACAAGCAAAATACGTCAAGAGTGTTAGTCAGAAGTGCCAGGCTACATCAGTACAAATCAACATCAGCACTAACAGTGCCTGCATCACTCAGAACAAAGGAACACATCAGTAAAAACCCTGAAGACATATTCATCAATGCGTTATAATCACATCATCAGTCAGTACAAAAACCTATCAACTACAGGATCATAAATGTGTCTTACAGCACAAATTAGGAGAGGAAAGAAAAGCAAGTTTCTTCTCAGTCGAGTAAAATTTGTTACAATACTGGCCTTCAGAAGGAACAACGCTCCTCTGCACTCTGCAAAGGCTGAACTTTAGAACAGAGCATGGACTTTAAAGAAGAAAAGTTAAAACAGAAAATTAGTGAGTTGATACAGTGTCTTACTGAAGCTCTCAGTCTAGTCTATTTTATTCTACTTGAACAACATGAAGCTTACTGACTCGATGGAGGGATTAAATAGTGAACTTACCGCAGCAATCATAATTGCGTTATCCAAAAATCCAAACCCTACAAAAGGTACTGCATTGTGGAAGAACACTAAAAGAAATAAGTAACAGAGAGAAAATAAATATTTGTGAGAGTTCACTAGTTCACAACAACTGAAATGTCAGTTTAATACTGCCTTTAAGAGAAACAAAGAGAACATACACAAAATCCCTTTCCCACTACTTCTATTGGTGACTTTTTTGTTTCTGCAGGTTTAGTAAAACTCTTTGCTACACTCAAGCGTTACTAATGGCTCGTGAAGAACCAGTTAAAGCAACTTACTCTGCAAATACTTGTACAATTTTGGATAGAAGCCACTTATGCCTACTAAAGCACAAGAGAAACACTGAAAATTACACAAACTTTGGTACTATTTAGTCCTTCCAACCAGTGTCACAGTATCACTAAGGATAACCAAACTGTCTCAATAGACTCTCTGTATTCTTCTCTTGCTTGAAACAAAGCCCCTTTCTCTGCAAATCCCTCTCTATTCCTGTGCAAAAGCTCCATCTTTTTCAGGCATTATTTTAAGAGTATTGCCTGGATCTAGGCAATTCTTATCAAAACTCATTCAACTAAATCTACAAATGCTCAGATGGTTTTCATGGCATTAATTTTCTCACTATTCCAACCCAGACTTCTGTATCTTGATTTTGTTTGGCACCTATGCTGAGAGCAAGTCACACTTGAAGCTGCTCCTCAATACATTGCTTAAGAAATCAAGTTCCACCTTTTGTTTCATGTGTTTTTTTTTCTTTTTACTCCTGAAACTCCAAGGAAACCCTGTGTGAAAATATTTTATACTGCAGAAACTTGGAACATGCTGGTCTGAATAATAATTTCTAACTAGAACAGCATTACCGTGTCATTCCTTTTTGCCCTGCTTCATTTTCTCTCTCAAATTTTAGCTTGTAAGCTTCTACTAGAGATGGGATTGAATTTGCATAGCATTGCTTCCAGCTGAGTTTCAAGGTGCTGGCTTCGTAAGACTGAATACAACACCGAGGACAGACTTTGTGACTAAAAATATAGCTTAAAGTTAGAACTTTTTTTTTTAACATTTAAAATGCATCAGCTCTTTACTTGTTTGGGTTTAGGTTTTTTTCCACTTCAGATGGGACCAACAATTCCTGTATTTCATAAACTTACAGAGAGGCAGCATAGGAAGAGGGAAGAAAGAAAAGTGCACAAACCTCACAGTCGTGTGAAAAGCAACTGGTATGAGTCCCTTCTGCATTTACCTCTCACAGACAGCATGAATCCATGATCATAAAAGAAAACAAAGCCACACTCAAGAGATCTTTCATGCTTAGGTACTAGAACATGTTTGGACTTCTGGGGCTACTTCGTAAGAACACAGAGACCTTCTTAAATGCACCAGTGAAAGACTAAAGCACAGAATGTATGAAATCTACCAACTTTTTTTTTAAACCACTGCAGGACATAAACCCCAAAACCATAAAAAAAAACCCAACAAAAATCACACAGATATGACAGTTATAGCCAGTATTTTCAAAATGTGTGTACTGAGCTCTGGAGCTACAAAGGGAGCCCAAATTCTTACCAAAATCACCAGAATTTTGGAAGCCAGGGAGTAAACAGAACCCCAGGAAACAAGGGGAAAAAAACCCCAGAGAGAACTAAGTGTAGACACCTGGAACAGGAAAACATTCAACTACATATATTTGCTAAGTGAGAGAGTATAGAACCACAAAATACACTGATTTGGAAACTAATCCAGAATTTGAATGACCATGGTATCACAAAGAATACCAAATCTATCTCCAATTTCCCTGCAATTTTATCCCACTTCTCAGTCCATTTAAAACACAGGCAATTAGAAGCAAGTCAATAATTTTGAACACAAAAATCCCACAAGGTTCTGCAGCATCAACACTGCTTGGCTTAGAAAACCAGTGTTTGCTGCTGGCCTTGAACAGCGTGCTCTCATTTGGGCTTTCTGTCCTACTTTCACTAAATGGTGCACATTCTCTGGCTGAGGTGTTACGAAATAAAGGTGGCAGCATGTCTGTTGGTGCTTGCTTTGGTTTTCTGTTACTCCAGACGACAGCGATGAGGATAGACCAGCACTTGCAGGAGAAAGATGAAGCAATTCAAAACACAGACTGCACAAGTACTGAACCACATTCAACACACATTCTTCTTTTACCATGTTTCAGTTGTCCTGGAGATGGTGGGGCAACCTCCAACTTCTCTAGAGAAGTTAAAATGAAATGAGAAAGTCAGCAACTTCACCACAAACACAGTTTATTATAATTTACCAAATTACTAGCAGGCAAAAAAAGCAGTTACGTTATTTAACAGCTTTCAAATTTGAAGAAAAATGTTTCACATCTACATTATTATTATTTTTACAAAAAAATAACATGACATTAAAAGCCAAAAATTCTTAGAGTACTATTATATTAAACTAATATAAGTCACTATGCAAAGTAACAGCATACACTAGAAGCAGCTCAACAGCCATCTTTCATTACCGAATATTAGAAGAACACACTAAAATTAGAAAAATCAAGACATCTAAAGAGGACTGTATTTAATTATTTGGTTTTAGAAGTCCTCTAGGCATGCAGCAGACAACCCTTCCTCCAGAGACAGTCTGCAAAAAGCCTCCTACCTCTGTTCTGATAGAAGGCATCTTTTAATAGCTAGTATGAGAATAAAAGAAAAATACTACAATAACATTAGAGACCATCAATTTCAGTAATAGCAGAACAAGTCTGGTCATTTGGTGCATGTTTCATGTATTCTGGCTTCAAACCATTATGAGCTTGGAAGGACCAGGACATCACTCCTGAACCTGACAGAGCACTCTACAGGAAGCTAACGCAGACCACTAGAGGTGATGCACAGAATGCAGCAACAACAGGTACTCACTCCACAGGGGCAAGGGAAAGAAAACCTACTTTTTAGGCTTCTGTTGTGTTTGTAGTTTTTTTACAATGTGGATGTTGAGCAAAAGAGCCCATTTTAAAGCAGAAAAAAAAAGTTGCCCCAGTATCTTCAGTCTGATGAGCCCTGAGCTTTTGACAAGTTGCTTCCATACTTTTGATTAGGTACTTCTACAGGCAAAGGTAAAAAATGGTGTAACATGAGAGGAGCCTACAACACGATCTCAAGTATTTAAATTTTACTTGGGGCAGCCAAGTACATGAAAAGACAAAGCTGCAAACACAGGCTGTGAATCATTTGAGCATACGACTGAACCGTGTAGACTAGAGTAAGTATCTCTACATACAATATTCTAACTCCTATACTCAAACCTATTGTAAAGGAGAAACTAAAACACTAAGATAAAAAGCTGTAACATAAATGAACTTCTAGCAAACACTCTTATCTACCTCTGAGTAAGACATCTTCTCACAGTTTGCCCTGACTATGATAACCAGTTAGTTTAGATAATTCCCATGTGAAGTATTTTGGGTACCAACACAAAGATACTTGGTTTGTCACAAAATATTATGAGACTCTAGCGGATTTAACATCAGTCTTGTGGATTTAACTACAACTGATTTCTGAGTTTGATAGCACATGGCAGTCTATATAATTACACTCCATTCAGTGTAGCAAGAAAGCTATTAAACAAAGCTAAAATTCAGTGCATAACTGATTCTAGAAACTTGTTACCAAAAGGAGGAATTGAGGGCAAGCATTTGGGAGGAAAAAGAAAATACATAATCTTTTACATCTATGAATAATGGGAGTTTCAAATCACGTTAATTAAAAAATATAAATCTGCTCCTCCAGAACATAAGTTAAGAACTATCTTGGGATGGTTTTAAAAGAAAGGACGTTAGGGGATACTACTTTGGGGCTAGAGGAAAGATGAATTACTGCAAGATAGAGGGAAACAGCAAGGGATCAAATATAAGCAGAAATCACTTCATCATTGACATAACCTGTTTCAGTACGATGGGATATCTGCTAAACAGCCATTTTATGAAGCAGGGCACCTAATATTGAAAGAGGGGTCACTAAGACAGCACTATGTGGCACTGTGGTCTGGAAACCAGACTGCTCTTGCCTGGCCATGGGGAATTCTTGCATAGGTTTTTTTGCAGCATTTTCCTGCCACATCTGTAAGAACTTTCTTTTATAAGAGAGAGTCTTGCCAAACTCATCTGGCAACCTGCCTGACATACAGCTTCCATCCAGATAAAGATTAATCTGGGGGAAAAGTCTGGGATTACACATGCTAACTAATGAGACACAGATAGGGGAAGTCTGACAGACAAAGATCAGAACTGCTCACGCTCCAGAGCGGGAAGCCGGAGGGCACCTAGTCCCAGCCCTGCACAAAGCTGAGCCACATCAGACCAGGTGGCTCAGGACCCTGTCACACAGTACCTGCAGGACCAGCCTCAAGGGAAAACCTGTCCCCTGTGGAGCACCAAGAGAAGCCTTTAAGCACAAAGACAACTTCACTGACAGATGAAGTTATGCTCTGCCACTGCGAGGTACAGAGCACTGCCCGATGGGGAAGGACCAGCTCAGCAAGACTTGCAGAGGCCAAAGCTTAGTTTAAAGCTGGGATATTGGGAGGAAAAAAGAAAAGATTTAAAGCAGAAAGAATTAAATAACCACCGTGGCATGAAAGCCACTAACGTTTTTACAGAATCACTTCCACTTTAAAGCATAACATGCTTTAAAACTTTAAAAGATAGGCAGGCACCTGGGGAACACATCTGACAGAGAGACAAAAAAATTCTTTAAAGCAATTTTTTAAAACTCTAGATAGCAAAATGTGTTTTGGAATATTGTATTTATTCATAGGAAATGTTCTGACTATTAGAAATTCCAAGGCTCAGCAAAAAAAACACCCCATGAAAAAAAATCTTCAGAGAACAGGCAGAGGAAACATGCCCTTCACTTGTTTTACTGGAGGGAACACAGAAGTCCAAATTGCAAAACCTCCTTTTAAGAAATTAATTCAGTCAGAATCCAACAGTTCAGAGTTTAATGTCTGGGAGAAGAGGCAGTACTGTACGCCAGTATTGCATTTCATGACAGCCATCCTGTGCCATAGACACCAGAATTCATCTTCACAGAATCACAGAATGGTTTGGGTTGGAAAGGACCTTAAAGCTCGTCTAGTTTCAACCCCCTTCCACAGGCAGGGACACACACCTTCCCCTAAACCAGATTGCTCAAAGCCTCATCCAATCTTACTGCAGGAGGAATAAAATGAAATGGCAGAGTAAGGAATACTGCTATTTTCTAACTGACTTCCATTACCATAAATGAAGTTACAATCCAAGGTTCAAGTGCAACACAGGTCATGAGCCCTGAATTAGCAACGTCTGGGGACAGAGAAAAAATCTTAACTGCCCCTTAAACCTGTCCTTGATCTTTCTTGAATTTACATCATCACTTTTTTGCTAACTAAACATTTACTTTTTTTTTTTAATAGACAGAACCCAGGGGAATATAAAACTGTCAACATAAGTTTACCTTTACCCACAGCATGGCCCATATCACATAAGTTAAAGTAACTCTGCCAGTTGTAGCCAATTTAAACCAAGTACTTGAATTTAGGTTTAAAATTATTCTTCTTAGCTGATAAAACCCCCCAATGGACTAACGGGTAATGGGAGTACATTTATTCAGAGAGCTGGTAAAAAAAAATAAAACAACCAAAGCCCAAAAAGTTGTCATCACCAGTTTCTGAGTTATCAACTCATTAAGATCTGGCATACAAAAGACCTTGCAAGCCTAAAGGCACGTCTTATGTTTTATTCAAATTGCAGCTAACGCTGCCATAAAATTTTATAGCTAAATCTTTCACTCTGACCCAGCAGCATGAAACTCATAACAATGATAGAAGGTACCATGGCCAGAGCAGCCCTAGGAAGATACGTGCTACAGCTGAGTATTGTTAAGTCCAAGACAAAAATATGAGCAGTGTCTTGGAAGGTTTTAAACAGTGACCCAATTGTTGTAAGATTAATGATTAAACAATGAGTATCAAAAAGGAAGAGGAATCTGAAAACTATTAATAATCTAGATCCATTATAACCTCACTGAAGGCTCGGAAGCTTAGGGTCTCCTCTAGAAGTTAGGGAGGATTTTGTCTCAAATTCAAAAGCCTGTCCAGGTCATTCAGTTACACATGGAACAGCAAGGGCTTCACTTGTGCAGAACAAGAAATCGAAGTTACTGTTGTGTCTGTTAAAAAAAGATATTCCTTTACATGTGGGTTCGTAAGAGGATCTTTATCCCCAGAATTCTGGATTGAAACCTAGAAATGTGTGTTATGCTGCTTCTTTCAGTATCTACAGGTAGATCCTTAAGAGTAAATTCTGACCATGATGCACGAGTTCATTCATGGAATAAGCTCATATTCACGTCCCAATTGTCCTTTGTTCCTCCTTTGTTTTTCTTAATGTTTTAACAAAAACTGTCAAAATCTCAGTACTTACAGCAAAACACAAATTTGAAAAACCATGTCCACTGATCTTCAGTGGGGTTCCCTGAAGATTCCAGATGGGAAAAAGACAATCCATGACTTGACAGCAAAGAAAAAATTCTGCATCATTTGTTGTATCTCCCAAATGGTTTCCTGTTACTACAGCGATTAAGGCATGAAAGGATGCTGACTCGTGCAGTGCTAAATATAAACTTGGCTGTTGGCCTGTTCAGTCACATGCACACGAGAAAGCTGAGCAAAGCACTAGTAAGAGATGAATAGACAGAGGACATAGAATCATAGAATGATTAGGGTTGGAAAGGACCTTAAGATCATATAGTTCCAATCCCCCTGTCATGGGCATGATAGAATCATTTCTCAGCTACCCCTGAAAAAGATAATTATGTCCAAAGAAATATTCTGCAAAAAATAAATAGGACATTAAACATTTTTTTAATAGTCTGTGTAACACTGTAAGAAAATCGCACAGTGATCACACATGTTCCATCTCCCTCCCTGAACAACCCTGAAGCAGCACAAGAGATTATCATCTTTATTTGAAACTACTGTTGTATTTACTGGACCAAGCATTGAACGAGCTTTGCAGGACTGCTGTTTGTTCCCTGGCATGGGCCAAACAATTCCCTTGAGAACAAAACCTGGGAGTGATTTCGGGCACAGTTCATGCCTGGGAATCCCTCCGAGCAGGTGGGCAGCCTGGATATATGGGCCCCCGGGGAGTTCCAGGGCTAAATGCCACTTACAACGGATGCAGCCAGCCTGCTCCA